AAACATGGGCTGGATTGGATTTGTAAAACATGGACTGGATTTGTAAAACATGGATTTGTAAAAGGTGGATTTGTAAAACATGGATTTGTAAAACGTGGATTTGTAAAACACGGATTTGTAAAACAAGTTGTAAAATAAGGATTTGTAAAAGGTGGATTTGTCAAACGTGGATTGTTAAAAAAATTATTCGTGTTTATTCTCTTTTTTTGCGACTTTCTGCGTGCTTTTTGCGTGTTTGCTGGCTGCACAGTGTTTACATATCCGAGTTCACTGATAACGCTCAGGTAAAATGGGGTTGGAAGGCCTACACGACTCCTCTTCGCGTGTTTGCCGCTTCTATATCTCTGTTCTTTTGACCGATTTAGCTTCTTGCTTGTTTTCAGTGGGGCAACACAGTGGTTTAGAGGATAACATGATGGTGATAGTGATTGAAACAGCCGAAGGTCATTTCTAAGTTTAAATTCTGCATTTATCGCCTGTTTGTTTTGACCCTTGTTGTTTCTGTTTAGCGACTATGGTCCTATACATGCCATCTGAAGCATTTTGTCTAGCTTTGGTTTGGCTCGTTTCAGTGCGTTCGGTGACAGCACAGCCTCTCTCTTCAGTGTTATCAAGGATAGGAATTTAAGCCGCGTAATATGATAATCTTTATCTTGCAGTGTTTGTACATTACCGGGCCCGGTTATTTGGTTTTGTAGCAAGACGTTGTGTTTCTTTTGCGGCTATTCGTCTCTTTATCCTTTCTTTTGTATTGTAGCTTCTTAGAGAGCAATGCAACACGTGAAGTTGAGCGCTAAAATCCGCTCTAATTAGGGCTGTGTCTTTGTCATCGTTTCGCTCCGCTCTGTAACCGCGGTTATAGTATTTTCCTTTTTTTGTTTTTGCCAGTGGTTTTGGCTGTGTTTGGGTACGCCATCAAATGATAGGCAAGACCATGGTTTGGATCCTCCCTTGTGGATCTCATCAGTTGCCGGGAATGGCTTGAGTAATAGAGTTGCTCTTTAGGCAACGTCATCGTCTTTGTGACCGAAGTCGAAGCACGAATACTCCATCATGATGGCATATGGCTCGTGACAAAACCTCAGAAACCCGGAAATATTTCTGTGGTCTTTGACACTATGGAGGATACCTGTCTCCTTTTCGAAGCGTCCCTTTGAGTCGGCGGATTCACCTTTCAACTTCTGTATGCAAACATGGCGCTGCACTTCTCCAAATTTAAAATCCGCCAAATAGACGGACCAAAATATCCCGCTTCCAAGCTCTTCTTTGATTTTTACTGAGTTTCATGAGAACTTTGGAAACTCAAATGCACGTCGTCGTTTTTTAGGCAGAGATGGAAACTTAAAACAAGCCGCCATATCTTCCTCGCGCAATCCCCTGACTTTCCCGCGCAAAATTAAAATATGCAAAATTATTTCCGTCAAAGGTCTACAATGCATTTTTAAACTTCCGGGCTTTTGACAGCCTGGTCGCTTTCTTGTCACGTACACTTTTGATTGTCCTATTCTTCCCGTAAAACGTTGGGTATCGTTCTGGACCCGCCTGTGTATTAAGATGTTTATTATTTAACTGAAATAAAAAAAAAACGCGCCGAGTACATTGTTGAGTTAAATATAAGCACGCGGGAATTTTTTTTGAACGCGTGAGAAGTGCCGAGAGAGGCACGAGCCGTAAGCGAGTGCTCCTTGTTCTTACACATTTCGAAATGCTAACGTTACGCAACAATGGACAAAAACAAGCTTTTTTTCAGTAACTATTTATATGTCAAGCGACATATCTACAAATCCACGTTTTACAAATCCATGTTTTACAAATCCATGTTTTACAAATCCACGTTTTACAAAATCCATGTTTTTACAAATCCACCTTTTACAAATCCATGTTTTACAAATCCCTGTTTTACAAATCCATGTTTTACAAATCCAGTCCATATTTTACATATCCAATCCAGTCAATATTTTACAATATGCCGGATCCGGGGCTTAAAGTAATTTGAATACAGGAAATTCTGTAATTGACTAAATTTGGTTTTAACCAGTGGTTACGTCTGATGAAATAGAGCCGATCAAAGGATCTGGACATTTCCTGAGCTAGAAATAAATTCAAAATGCCGTTCATTTTGAATACAAACATCCCTTTAACGTCGGACCACGTCGGTTGTCGGTAATTTTTTCCTCGTTTTGTCGGTGGTCAGTAACATTTTTCGCCCTTTGTCGCTAGTCGGTTAACCCCATTCACACCTTCCACTAATATCACGTGCATTTACAGTCCAAATAAGCCAAGAAGTGAATTTATAACGATTAAGTTGTCCTTAGTCACATGCCAATCATCTATTTACTTTAAATGATTATCAATCAGAGGTCAAGGTTTGTGTTCAGACTATTCCTGCCGTTAGGCACTCTGTTTCACCGATTTAAACGGCTCGCTCATAATACATGCACAACAGTTGCAACGGGTTACAGCCTGATATGAGCTACTTGCTACCTATTTTTGATTTCGAAAAGGAAAATGTATAAACGGACAGAAAATGGAGCTCATGAGGCTAAATCTGGCTTTTCAGAGGGGAAATTTACGGTTGGTTTGATTAATAAACTTTTATTTTCAGAACAGATAATTAGTTAATTAAATAGGACCATGACATCAGCACGTAATAGTATGCTGTAACTTGTTTTTCTGTCTCGTCACATAACAGACCAGGAGCCTCTGGGGACGAAAATAAGGATTTGTATGAGTTTTTTTTTTAAATTTTTCCCAGAGCCTCGAGGTGATGTCTTTTGTGAAACAGTGAATAATTGGGCAGATGGTTTTCAGTCACATGATGAGACGGCCATGTTGGTGCACAAAGCAAATTATGGCTCGTATTTTGCATAATAATAAAGTCAAATTCCCAAAAGACTTTTTCTCTATTGTTCTGTCCACCAACATGGCCGCGATTACGTCAAGTGGAAACCAACTATTGTGCCGAACTAAGCAACCCCTAAGTAAAGCGACTTCCCGGAATAGCTTTGTCTCCGCTTGTGACAAGCCTAGCGCCCCTTCGCTGTGATATTAGTCTTTCCACTGTTGAAAGAGACTGTACAAGCGATATGAAAAGACATACGAAAATCATAACAACTTTCCTTTTGCTTGCAGTAGCTGCACGAGGTAAGTCAGGACTACACGACAACTTTGAGCGATCGTAAACAGGTTTCCTCGATTTGTTGGTAACTCAAAACTCGTAGTCGTTCCTTACTGAAAACATATTCTGGATCACAATGCATGTTCTTTACATCAATGATATTGCGTTATATCTTGCATGATAACATGCATAAGTGCTGTACTAAGCCTGTTCCAAAAGCAGCAAGCGTGAGCAGCAAGCCTTGAGTCGCAACTAAAATATAATTGTGAATATGATCAGGGTCGACTTCAGAGTATTCAGAAGGAATTAAGCAATAGATACACACCATATTGATGAAACTGAAATGCTGCCCAGACAGGTTTTTAGTTGAATATTTTAACCAAGGATGGATTCAGTTAGCTGAATGCGTTAATAATTCCCATCAGCCAGAAAAGAAAACCTGCAGAGCTGGTCAGTTTTGGTGGTAGACACAGATTTCATAGTTGACTGCAATGCAATATTAAATTATTTCAGAGAATCTCATCAGTCACTGAGCTCGTGCAGATATCAGTTACGATCATGCCTCGTCTACGTGACAACACGAAATAACCAAATGCAAGCTTTACATGGCACAAATATCTCGGAAAATCGTTCACCATTTAGTGAACATTAACTAACCCCTTCTGTAAACAAAAGTTCCTTCCTTTCTAAGAATTTGAACGAAGAACACCCGGAAAGAACCATCGCTGACAGTCTCCGGAATTATTTTGAGAATAAGGATAACAAATTTCTCAGTATCTTGGGAAGTAATAAAGTTGTTATGATTGTTTTGGCTTAGAATGATGAAATCTAGTGGCAAATAACGGGGGGCAAATAACGGACAACTGAGCTCCGAGATTCTGCGCGTTTTAAGTGTCAAAAAGAATAGAGACCTTTAGCATCAGGTAAACCGCAAACCGCAGTTACGCGTTTGCAGTTTCGCGTTGCCGAGATTTCAAACTTTAGCAAGGCGTTCAGTTCAGTTCATCTTTATTTAGCCAAAATACAATACAATACAAGAATACATATGGGAATTGTAAGGTTGCAAGGGAGCCCAGAAGAAACCACAAGGCTTTATGAAGCCTGGCCTCCCCAGTCTAAAAGAGATAAGCAAAATAAAATGATATTCGCGGAGTAATACGTTAAAAATAGGAACCAAACAGAGACTGAGTTATGAATTACTAAGTTATGAATTCAGAAGCAAGATAGAAAAAAAATTTAACTCTGGATTGGAACAGAATACTTTCCTTTGTTAGTACGGCAGAAAGGAATATAAAATTGATTTGAACTACGCGTTCATTGTTTAGGGCCGCCATGTTGTTTTCATCAAGTCGAAGTGCATCACTTTAATCGCCCAAAGTTCAGCAATAATTCATTGATTCGAGATCAAAAATCCAACAAACACATCGCAAACGGATACAAAAAGCTAGTTCATACCTTTAAACGCGAGCCTGTACAATTTTTGGTGACAAAAAACCTTGCCGTAAATCACTTACCGCGGGAAGCCCTTCCTGCGGTTCAAACGTGAACTGCAAACTGCAAACGTGACCGCAAGGCCGTGCTCACGTGACATTTTGCGGTTTGCGGTTTGCCGTTTCCCACGAAAAACCTGATGCTAAAGGCCCCTAATATTGAAAAGTGTACCTCTGAATGGGGATGGTCGCCATACAAACATGTTTCCGGCTTTTTTATTTCTTGCGTTGATACCACCACTCTTTTTGGCACGGTCGATATATTCCTCAATTTTAAAATGATTCCCACTAAACATCATCTAGTGGCCTCTTACCTCTTCAAATCGATCATCAGCTTTTTGCGTTATTCACTTAAAAGTCGTTATTTTGTCGACAACGTTATTTGCACGCTAATGATAGCTTTATTTACCTTTATAGGCTGGGGTGCTGTATTTTCACGGGTACCTTCAGATCTCGTAAGGGCAGTTCCGGGGTCCGACGTTACCTTTCAGTGGTCCCTGGCTGAAAATTTGACCTCACTGCCTGACTTCCAAGCACTTGTGTTTGGACTTTGGAGACATGGATTCGTCGCGACATACATAACCACGGTGACGAGAAACGGGCACGCAATTCCGAACCCAGACCTAAAGAAGGAGGCACCGCGGTTGGACGGCCGTGTACAGTGGAAAGGGAACCTGTCAAAATCACTCGTGGCTTTCCAAATTTCTGACGTTAGAATTCAAGATCAGACGGATTATGGCCTTCTTTTGAATTTTGGTCCTTTTAGACACTCTCCAACGGACTCAGTACGTCTTGAAGTGGAAGGTAAGGATGCAGTCAGAATTGGATAAACATAGGGTGTGGCTGACTATCAAACGTGCCGGCCTTGGTGTTACGTGTCCCCTCTATGTGCTAAATAATGTAAAACATGCCAGTGTTTTGGTATCCAAAACTGATTTTTCTTGCACTGGCAATCCTTTGCTTCTACAGACGCGTCGTCTATGATAACAGCGCTGCCATCAGCGCTGCAATCACTTCCCATACGGGCACGAAAAGGCAAAAATCTTACTTTCCATTGTGAGTTTCGCGTAGCTGCAGAAGATGAGGCCCTGTACGAGGGAATTGCAGTTGGTGTTTGGGAAAGGGGTGAAATCGCCTTGACCCTGATGACGGTTACAAAGGAATATAGCATTGTCATGAATCCCAAGCTGTACAAAGAAGGTCCTGAATACAGCCAAAGAGTTCGTGCACACCTCTCCACCAACAACAGCAGTAACACTTCAAAAGTATTAGTTGAGTTGGCAGAAGTAAAAGAATCCGATGAACGATCCTATGGGTGTAGCATGTACTTTGGCCCTTTTCGGGAACCTCTGGGTTCATCAGTTAGCGTGTATGTGGAAGGTATGAAAATGTATTGATCTGGATATCTACAATCTATTTTATCTAGGGCTGTATATGTTTCTATTCCTCACAATTAGTCGGTATTATGAAGTATTTCGGACACTAAGAATACCCTTGCAAAAATTACCATTTTCTCCATTGTATCCACTAATTTCTTGTTATTGTTTATAACCAGGACATGTCATTAGTTTTAACTTTATTTTGCCCTTTTTTCTCCTGTTATGTTCTCTCTCTTGTATATTTGCAGTATGGAGAAATAAAGTAAAGTAAAAAAAAAAGGGGGGGGATAAAAATTGTTCTGAAATTCCCGGTTTACGAAAAGTTGTCTGGAGAAGGCTTGACTGTCAATGTACCCTTAAGCATTTGTGAAATTTTAGCGAGATTGTAGCATACGAAATCACGAGGGTTACTCAGCTATCGCCCATCCCCAAAACGTAATTGTTAATGAATATAAGCCCTTCAGTTTTAAAGACCTTGTTCGAGGAAATGTCTTTTCATGTTTGTTTTTATTCCTACATTAAGGCACAAACAGCAACAGCAACGGTTTGCCTTTTTTGACCAATGATAACGACGATACACGGACAGTACGTGCTAACAAAGACGTTGCGCTTCCCTGCCCGGTGCTGTCAGAAGTGATTCAACTCGACCGAACTTTTAAGGCTTTATATTGGTCTTACTGCACCTCCAAGAACTGCAGTACAATCGAAACTAAATGGTCGTGGATGGCTGGAATGACCAATTCTCGAGCTACTAAAGTGGTCGACAAGGGTCCTTATAATGGTAGAGTCAACCTGACTCGTAATGGAACCCTGATACTGTCTAATGTACAGATTAGTGACGGTACAGACTACATGTGTACTGTTCAGAGGGTAAATTTCACATCGGCAGAACGTTACTTCGTCACTCTTATTGTCAACGCAACTGGTAAGAATGTTTTTCGGTCACTGTAATCACGGTTGTGGACTGCGAGTCTTCGGGTCTCTTTCTCTTTGAACTTTGCATTGATCGTGTGGTGGGAGTTGGGCCTCTTTTATCTTACGGGTAAATTATTAATCAACTCAGTTGTCACATCGTTGTCACGAACAACTTCTGAGGCACATGACTGCATGATTTTCACTGTTCATTTTCTCTCATCCTCTAATAGCAAAGTAAATTGTCAGCTGTAATACGACTGCAGAGGACACGCGTGAAAAACGCAGTGCGCATGCGTTCAAAATCATACGCGATACCAAAACAAACTAGATTCCGGCCGCGAAATTCAAAAAAGTAAGCTCCACACACAAAAGATAAGCTTAGAATTTCACGAACACAAAGTTTATTAATTTCTTTAGTTTCTCTCTTTTGCACCACATACTTTCCTCCTTGCACCAAAGGCGAAAATCATGTTTGAAAGTCTACGCTCGCTCTGGCAGCACTTCGCCGTAGCCATTGTTGCTGTTTTGGTCATCATGTCGCTGAGCTCGGTCAATGCGAACAACGAAATCGACCAATGCATCCAAGGACGGAAAAACCTTGTACTGGACGACTTTACCAGTTAGTTAGTTAAGTTAGTTTAAGTAATTTTTTGTTGTGCTTAATACTAGAACCGGCTGCAAACCATTAAACATACCAAACATTCCTAAATGTTTTTCAATTTAAATGGGAAGATTTTGCAAATTTTAATTATTGAAAATAGAGACCTTGCGCATGCGCAGACGTTTTGCACGCGTGCCACTGCAGAGCATTCCCCTATGTTTCCCATGGAAATGGTAAATAATGTGCATTTATGAAAAGTCATTAAAGTCTAGAAGTATGCCCTATTGTTACCTCATTAGACAAATCAACTTTATCGATCAAAGTTAATAGCCAGGCAATGGAATGTCACTTGGGGGAAAAGTATTTCATATCTCTTAATGCAGTGAAAATGCTTCAAAGTACCGTACGTTACCTTAGGGGGCTTACTTCCCTCCATATTTCAAGTACATATTATTCTTTCTTGCAATAGAACCGCCCAGCATAACGAACAGGAGTAAGGATAAAGTTACTGTGTTGGAAGGCAAGCCACTCGTGTTATTTTGTGAAGCCAAGGGTTACCCATCACCTCATTTTACCTGGAGTAAGAATGGCAAATTGCTTCCTAGTAGCGATAATGGAACAAAGTTCATTATCCACGAAACCAGTAAAAAGGACGCTGGAGTTTACAGATGTGAGGCTTCAAATTCTGTAGGAACAGTGGGGTACTCATTCACGGTGGAGATCACAAGCAAAGCGGGTAATTATAAAGGAATAGTATGGCTTCCTCTTCACTACCGTGAATAATGATTTGTCTGTCTGTCTGTCTATCTGTATCTCTGTCCGTCCGTCCCTTTGGATTTTGTTCTCAGTACATGTAATATTCGATTGAATATAAAGGTTCCGAATTTCTCAAAGTAAAAGCTTGGTTTAGTTTCTGTCAATCAATCAATCAATCAATCAGTCAACCAACCAACCAACCAATGAGCCAACCAACAAATCAATCAGTCAATCTTTATTTATACACGAAATCTCTCCTAGGAGTCGTGTAAATTAAGCCTAAAGTACATTAACTGCCTAAAGCTACCTAACCATTTAATCGAGAAAATGAAATGCAATAGGAATAAGAATTAAAATTTAATTACTAATTGATCTAATTACAAATAAAACAAATCTTCCCCATTTAATGAGGTTTTAAAGTAATTGGAATTGGGCCGCTGTCTGATCTCTTAGGGGATCTTGCTCTACGGGATAAATCCCCTGTAGTGAAAGCTCCCTTTCTTTTTTTCTTGGCTTCCTTGAGTGTATTTAGTCACCTTAACTGCATTTCACGTGTGAAATTGTTTCTTTCAGGTGACAGGGGAAAGAAATTGACGCCGTTAAAGATTGCCTTGTTGAGTGTTGGTGTGGCTGTGGTGCTTCTTGTCGTTGGGTGTTGTGTATGGCGGAGGAAAACTGCAGATAGCCGCCGTGGCTACGCAACCGTTTGAAGAAGAAGAAGTGACGAAGATAATTTTTTTCAACTAAATTTTTTCATTTCTCTGCCGAAGTACGAAAACAATAATTCTAGACAAGAACACCCAAGAAAATAGTTTTGAAGACACACTAATGCATGCTGCTGTGAGTATACTGTGTCTGACTCTTGTGAACGAAGGAGACTGCCATACATTTTGTGAAGTCGAACGGCAAGTGAAATGCCGGAGAATACTTAAAAGAATCCCGTGCAATGATTCGAAAAGATAGGCTATACTAACCCGAATACTGTAGCTCCAGAGGGAACTCGTAATTGCGGCTGTATATTTATTTTTATATTTTATTTTTAGGTTTATTGACGGATAAGACAGTAGAAATATAATCACGGCACAAAAAAAGAGCAATAAAAAATAAAACAAAATAGAATGAAAACCCCTACCACATTATAGTCTAAATGTATAGTTTCTCATCTTACATTTGTTTAACATGTCTTTTTTTAACGCCACACACATATATTATTTGACATTACAACCTAAACTACAAGACTGTAAAGAAAAATGCATGGAGCAGGATGGAGTGATATCATGTCTTGACATTTCACTCATTTAAATCAAATCAGCATGAAAGAAATCGTCCATAGCAATTCGTTTGCAGTGCAAGTGCCAACAACATGCATGGATGAAGAATTGAGGGAGGTGCATTAGAATTCGAAAGTTTTATTTATCATAACGTTTTTCAAAGGATTTGTGACAGTGCAGGAAAAGCAAATCCTTGCAAGGGCTATTGAAATCCAATCAAAAAATGGGCGTTAGAAGCTCATCTCTCGCAGATAACTGAATAACAATTCTCAAAGGAAAACCTTTGTCTCTCCACTTTATTGGCTTTTGTCAGTACAATGGGATTGTAATATTTCCTGGCAAAATCATGAGTATTGACCGGCTTAAGAATATTTTACTGTAGAAGTTCAACCTTTTTTATGGAGTTGCTTAATTTTCTATCAAATTGTTCTGGCTAATTGCACTGCCTTAAAAATAAATTCTAAGCTGGGTCTCTTGAAAGAACTGTTAGAGTGAAAAAGTGAGGTCTGCACTCCAAAACCACATTCTGAATGCAACTTCATCTTGTGTCATTTTGGCATTTTATTACAAAGTGACATTGAGTTTGCTTTCTACAAAAGGTTGAAAGTTATAAAGAGTTGTCAAACTTTACAGTACAACTTGGCACCACTAGCTCGTTACAACCGTCACAAGCCTTTATTCTTGACCTGCCCATGTTTATAATTCCAAAATCGACAAGGTTCGCTGCTAAATTTAGCCGGATGATTTTCACCCACCCAACCTACATCTAATGATGTCCGGTGAAGAATGTGGCATGGCCTCAAAAGGGCGAAAGTATTCACGCAGCTGAGGGGAAGTCCTTGTCACTATTATAAATGTATGGATCCCGTAAATGTAAAGTTATTTAGATAACCAATTTCTTTCCATCCCCGTCAGCAACATAATAATAACACATCTTGATACTGTCCTGATGAGCTATATCAAAAAAGAGGGAGAGGGATAAACTTCTCTGCCACTTCACTCTATAAAATTAGAAAATAACTAAGAGCGTGTGGATGCGGAAAATAAACTATGACAAAGAGAACAATAACATATCAGTGCTACAACAGCCTAATAAGAAAACTGACGCAAAACTAACTAACTTTTGATTATGGGTGTGTCGCGTGGCGGCGTGCATGAGTGCACAAAGAGAAACAATTGTGTTCGCGACAGGAAGCTGCATTGTGGCAGTTTTCAAGTGATCGCATGGACAAAAACAAGCGCAGCATCGTGATGGTGGACTGCGTCTTGGCATTCTCAGGGATCGGTGGCCATCTTTCCTTCCCCGTTCTCGTCCACTGGAGCCCTGGTATTTGCTGCAACTGGTTCTTCCCTCTTCAAGGTGTGATCTAAACCATGTGGAAAACACTAGCGTTATTATTCTTTTTCTTTGCCCATGAAGGTAAGTCAATCCCTAACTCTGGTTGCTTCGTAATCAGTTAAACGAAAGCCTAGTGTACCTCTATCGTAAGTCTGTTTGCTCGTCTGTGTAAAGGCGGACTAAAGGTACAGCGCTTGCTTGACAGCCAACAAGAGCTAATTGCAGATCGTTGTGTATCAGAAGCTAGTCGCTCCACGGCGCATACAACACTCTAACCCGCATGCCTTCAAATTCAGCCGATGGTAAGCAAATATAAAAGTCATAGCTCTAACTACAGTTTGTTTATCTTTTTCCCTTACTCGCAAAAAGTCGTTTCTGTCGTTGCTTTATCGCCGTGGTTTTCTTTAGTAAAGTGGACGTCTTTACTTAAACGTAGCTATTATCGTCTGCGCGCGCGAAAATCATGGCTGCGAGGACCCGATTATTTCAACCGTTTGAACGTAGTATCAGTTTTTAGTTGGCTAAAAGCGTTGACAATTTGCCTTTTGTTAAGTAGTTTCGCTGATAGGTATTACCGGTCTATACTCTTCAAACAAAACTTCATTCGCTTGACAAGGCGCCTTTCTCGGAAAGACAGTAGAGACGCTTTGCCGTTTGATATTTTCCGCCTAGATGGTTTTTGCATTTCAAACTGATCAAGGGACAGACAACTAGATGGTTGTCCAATACGTCTTGTTTCTGCGTTATTTTAGGAGAAATGACCGTAGATCGAGTAGTTTCTCTTAACATCGTTTTATGTAATATGAATACAAATTTCTAATCGCGAAGTAGTACTCGACTAATATCTTGAATTTTTAATAACTTTCGCCCGATGTGTTTTCCGAGAAACCAAGGAAGTTTAACTGATGCAAATCAGTTTACTCATTAGTTAAAGAAAATGGAGCTTTTCAAAGAATCTGTTCACTTCTCTCTTGAATGCAGTCATTGTAGAGTGGATGAATGACGCTTTTAGAGATAGAAACGTCAGTTCAACTAACTCAATTAAGGCCTGTGTTTCACCACTCTACTTTTTGGGTATCCAGCTAATTTGTATTCTTCTTGGCATATTGCCGTTTACTTTTCAGTATGGTCCACTAACAAAATACAAGCTTCTGTTTACTTACACTGAATTGCAATTAAAAAATTTCATTAAGAGGCCATCTCTGTGTATATTTTACCTTGTGGAATTCATAAACCTAGCTAAAACTTAATAGGGCTTATTACTCTGATTGGGTATTAGTGTTTTGCTGATAGTCTCAACACAGAGTCTGTTTTTAAGTAAGTCATATCTATTTGTGTAAAACTCGATTTAGCAATAATATAGCAAGGTGGTTTTTCCATGTGCTGTTAGAATTCTTCTTCGTTTGATGCTTTTTATGTTTCTATATTTTATTGAGTACGCACTCCTGACCGTACGCACTCCTGATTTCATAATGATGATGGAGATTTATGTTTTGTTTATTTTACTATATCTGCCATTCAAACTACTATATTTTACAAATTTCGCTAAACATGGTTTTCAATCGCGCAAAAATATTTGCTAAGTAAGCTAAATACAACACTGAACGTTAATTTTATTATTATTATTTTTGTTACCTCACAAAGAAAACATTCCTGACTCGGCTGATTCAGAAATCTCCCAGGATGCCTTCCCTCATTCAGACACAATGAACAATCTCGAAACAAAAGATAAATTAAATAAATCAAATCTTTTTATTGAAGTGAAAGAAAACATTAAGTAGAAAATCTTGGGGCTGTAAGTATGCCGTGATACTGAATAAGCGAGAAATGGAAACGCTTGGGATTGCATTATGTAGCAAAACAATTTCAATATACTCCTTATAGGTTAACAAGTGATTTCAATTTTTTTCTTCTCCAAAGACCTGGCCTAATCTTTTTTTAATAATCTAGTGATAGCTCAGTACTGTTAGCGTATGTCTAGCGGTTTACAGATGAGCAAAACTACAGTGATTGCACAGATTGTATCCCGGTCAGAATATTTAAAAAATATGAAAAGAGATGAGCTCATATTTATAACTGAAGTCTAAGAGAGATACTTAGAAGTGTCTTGGTTGCCCATATAAGATTACTAACCCATTTTACTTTTGATGCTCATCTGAAAACCGCTCTACGAACACGTAAAACTGTGAATTATGTTGTACACGGTTTAAGTCATCAGCTCACGGAGACACAATAAGTTTATTACCATCTTGTCAAGTTAAAATCTTTGTCAGGGTAAACCTGCTTTTTGTCCGCAACTTCCTATGTATTTTAAATTCATCCATTCGAAATCTTTTTATAATCTATCACAACGCAGGATTGGGAGCTCAAATTTTTCGTGTATCGTCACATCCAGTAAGAGCATTCCAGGGCTCCGATGCTTTGTTTCAGTGGACCCTCGAAAGCCGCTTAACATCAAGATCCGATTTCCAGGGAATGGTGTTCGGAGTTTGGAGAAATGGATACGTTGCCTCATACATTCTCTCAGTAACCAGTAAAGGGGATGTTTTCCCAAACCCAGACCTCAAACACGAGGTCCCATCCCTGGAGGGTCGCGTGCAGTGGAAAGGAGACTTGTCCCAATCTGTTGCAGCTTTCCAGATCTCTCACATCATTGCCGAAGATCAGATGGACTATGGTTTAAGACTGGAGTTTGGTGCCTTGAAAGAACCTGAGTCTGATTTTCTCAGTCTTCGAGTTGAAGGTAACCAAGAAACAGCTGAACATTAACTACTCAACATCTTTAGCACCCTTGTAAATTTGATACATGGACGTCCAAGACAATAATCATTTTTTTAATGCAGGAAAGAGTGACGACTCAGCGATCACAGCCTCACCTTCTAGCCCCCTCTCAGTAACACCAGGAGGAAACATGTCTTTCCAATGCGAATTTCACGTGGGAGATAAGGACAAAGTGGTCTACGATGGCATAACTGTTGGAATCTGGGAAAGAGGAGGAATCTTGTTGACCCTACTGACATTGGCAAAGAACGAAACCCTCATCATGAATCCGAAACTTGATCAGGAGGTGCCGGCTTACCACGGAAGAGTCTTCGCCAAGACATGGTCCAACAGGACAACCAATACGTCGGTGATGACCATCGAGATAAACAATATAAGAGAAAGCGATAGAACATGTTATGGATGTGGTATGTACTTTGGGCCCTTTCAAGAGTTGCTTGGAGCAGCAGTTAGACTAGACATACAAGGTATGTGATATCTTGTGATTTCACTGTCAATTTTCAAAAGTTCTTGAGAAAATTTTGTTCCTGACAGCTGACGGGTTTGGGGGAAGGTTGTGTGCGCAAAATGTGACTATGATATCATATCACGTGGAAATTAACGTTTTGAGATGCACCTACGATCGACATTGTTGAATTTCTGGTGTTTTGTAAAACCTCAGTAGACCGTCTAAATTGAGGTACATAATAATTACTGAAAATCAATAAAGAACAAACTTGAGTTAAAAATGGTACAAAAGCATTTCATTATGTTAACGTTAACTGTAAAAGATTAATATAAATCTGTTTCTATGAAAGTATCACGTCGCGAGGACAAACGAATGACATGCCAAATTACCACTGAGCAGGTTCAAAGTTTCCACGGTTAGTTTCTTGAAATTATTCTGGTTCCAAACAGAGATACGCGAGCAATAAATGTGCTTTCCTCTCTATCCGTCTTCCAGGAAAACAAAAACACTCACGTCGTCATCATCATCATTATCATCATCGACAACAACAACTTATTTAATTTTATTATTTTCCCCTGCTTTCATTAATATTTTGTTTTGTCCTGGATCATTTGTTCCTGTCTTAAAACCTCAGTTCCCAACCGACAATACGCGACAAGAACTGTAGAGAACTCCGTACGAGCAAGAGTTGGCGAATATGCAAGAGTCCAATGTCCGGTGTTTTCACTGGACATTGAATTCCAGGCTGTGTACTGGTCTTACTGCACCACTGAGAACTGTAACATGAAAGAGACCGAATGGTCATGGATTGCAGGCATGAATAGCACGAGGGTTACTATGGTCAATGGCACCGGTAAGTTGAAATTTTTCAAAAAGGTGTCGAACAAAAATGCAGGCATGTATTAAAAGTGTATTTGTGACTCACCGACACTATTGCAGATTTGTCCATAACTTCATCAAGGCCGACGTGACGTGTTGTTTGATTAGTTTACATCCAGTGCCTGAGATTTTTTTGAAAATGAGAGGTCTTGCAATACTGTCGCCAATGGTAACAGCTAATGTTACGCATGCTACACGCCTCTTTAAAGAGAACCGACGTACCAACGTCTTAGCCAAGAAAACTTGTTTACTAGCTGAAACCCAACCTACCTGAACCGTTTCGCAAAAGTTACCGTATGCTATGTCTATTACCATGCCTTTTTACGCCTTTGCTTACGTGTATGTCTGTCTACTGATGTCTATGCCTCTGCCGATGCTTATGCCTATCCCTATGTCTATGCATCATATTATGCCTATGCCTAGGCCTATACACATGCCTATGTCTGCACGTATGCCTAAGCCCAAGCCTATGCCTATGCCTATGTCTATGTCTATGCCTATGCCTATGCCTGCGCATGCCTGCGCCTATGTCTAAGCCTATACCTATGCCTACCCTTGCCCACGCCTATGCCTGCGCGTGTCTACGCTTATGCCTATGTCTATAACGTCTATACCTATGCCTATGCCTATGCATGTCTAAGTTTATGCCTATGCCTACGCCTATGCTTATGCCTACTGATGCCTATGCTTACTGTCTGTATTCATATTCACGTCTATGACTTTTCCAGGTCCCTATGCGAACCGAGCAAACATGTCCTTGAATGGAACCTTAGGAATAAGCAAGGTGAAAGCAGGAGACCAGACAGTTTACAAGTGCACCGTGAACGAAGGAGACTTCACTTCTCCACTAGTGTACTTTGTCACGTTAGATGTTGATTCCAGGGGTAAGGCGATTCTTGCTCTTGAACTTGTTAGACGTACGTAATTTCCATTGACGAATCAGACATTGATCTCTTTCTCCATGTTGTGAACTCCGCTCTACTTCTTCACTTGACTATGGGATTGGATACAGTATAAACTAACTAATGAGAAGACCGACTTAAACTTAAACTTAAACTTGCGTTACTTTTTGCTTGTTTTTAGTGCGGCCCGAGATTACTTCACGAAGCCAAAGTGAGGTAACTGCACTTGAAGGACACGTGCTTTACTTGAAGTGTGAGGCAACAGGCATTCCTCCTGCCATAGTAACTTGGAGGAGAAATGGGCATGTCATTCAGAACCGTACAACTCAAACCAACTACATCCGAGAGAATGTCATAACAGCCGCTGAAGGGGTTTACGAATGCGAGGCTTCTAACTCGATTGGAACCGATAGTTACATGGTTGTGGTAAAGATAAAAACAGCTGAAGGTAAAGGTGTACGTTTAAGAAAAACGATTAACCAACGGAAGCTTTTTTCAATAAAGATTTGTTAAAACATTTATAGCGGCAAAAACGAGCGATAACATCAGACTTTTCGGAATACTACAGTCATCCCTCCATTGTCAAGGCAGCTACGCACAATATGTAAATTTACAATGAGTATTTAAAGCAGTGGGCGCTCACATTGATACAATAGAGAGTGCGCAAAACTCATGGATAAAATTACACAAAGACTGTCGCTCGAATGGTGTCCGATTGCACGTTTAGAGTTGGTTTAAGCTGTCTTATAAACAACATCTCGTGCTCTAAACAGCGTTTTTGTCTTTAAATTGATCCACAACGCTTGTCCATGAAATAGGGATAAAATTTGTATTTTGGCCCCCACAGCTTTGTTTCTGCTTTTGCTTCACAAATGGTAAAGAAAGATTCATATATCAGCATAACCTTTCCAATCGATTGGTCTTCTAATGATCGGTGGTATCCTCCAATTGACAGCGTGTAACCGCTTAAGAAAATTTATTATATTTCATGCTTTGCATATTACTGGTTACAGAAACTTTTCCTTGAACTTCCTGTTTGGTTAGGCAATTAACTTTTGTCGCGCATGGT